GTTTGCAATAGTTTGCCGTAGCTAAAGGTAAGTGGCTTCAGCAGACAAGCAATCTTAGGCTAAAAGGGTGATCCAGGGGCTCAGGAACATTCACATGTTGACCAGGAGCTAACCTGCCACCCTCCAAGAATCCCCGTCATGAATGAAGTACCTCTAGTTGTTGAGGATCTAGTAGTACAATTATAATACATATATAATCTCTGAATTCTAACACTGTTGGGGGTTTTGTTTGGGGATTTTTACTCGATTTTGACTCTGTTTTCCCTTGGGTTGTGGGAACCGGTTACCCCAGGTGTGTCTGCCAATCATTAGCCCTGGGAGTTTCCCTTCAGCCTTCCAAGGATGCCCTACAATTCTCAGATCACAGAACACCTTGGAGCCCCAATCACCCTTCACCCCTCCCAATCACCACTCATGCATGCCCAGTACTGCCTTGACCTGACCTCTACAACTCAACAAGGTCCCTCTGGAGCGAGTCCATCAGTTTGGCTGTACCCCTGGCCTTTGCTTGCCTACATAGATCTTTTGGCCAGGGTGGTTCGGCACTGCCACACCCTTTCCAAGAAATGAGACCCCACCCCTTGACACTTCTCAGAAGAGACAGAAGAGGAGGGTTATTCTATAGCTGCCTAAATACTAGGCTTCTGTGGCCCGTGCAGCCCTTGCTCCGGTACCCACAAAGGCATAGGGCGTTCAGTTAAGAGGAAAGTGCTTCCACTACCTCTCTCTGTGCACGTCCAACTTTGACCAACCCCGTCTGCTTAGCCCATCAGCTTTTACAGCCCTGGCAGCCCTCACAAATTCACAACATTGTTAGGCCATAAAGATATTTAATAAAACCAACAGGACTTACTGACAAGTTTCTTCTGATACAACCCAAGCACAAGATAGGAGGGTAACGTGAAGCGTCTATCTGCTGTCATTACTGGAAGTGGTGACAGTGTCCGTGAGGGGTTCATTGTCTGTCATCTGTTTCTCTGAGGAGCAGCGTGATTCCTGTGGGGCCGCTGACGTGTGTATGGGTGATGGGTGAATGGAAGAAAGAGGCGTGGGCCTTCTCTCCTTAGGCGAACCCCACACAACTGAGGGCTCAATAGCCTTAGCGTCCTGGAAGAGGATACGCCCTAACTGTCACCGCGGGGAAATACCTCTTGCCTACGTACCTTTCCTGACACTGAGATGCCTGACCCTTGGCAACCTTACTGTCGCTGTGTATGAGAGAGAGAAGAAACAGGAGGTAGGGAAGGAAAGAGAGAAAGCCTCCCTTGTCCCCATTCATCTAGTTTCCATGAGCCTCCTTCTGGGCCCTGAAAATAGGAAGTTCACTTTTCTTCTTAGGTTCTTACAAGGCATGACTTCTAAGGGTGATTGCCAGATGTTTTGAAATTGTTTTAAAGCGTTCAGGGAATGCGTGTCGTTAATCACCACATCTAAGACGGTTGACTCCAAGAGTTTTTGCCCCAAATCGATCCGAACATGTTTCAGCTCTGCTCTCCCTGACAACACCTAGGGACCGCTGAGTGAAGGCATGCATTTTTGAACCTATCAAAGATGCATGGGAAGCCGTTACTGGAACTGGGAGTTGAAGAACAGCCTGACTCTGTAAATCTTTCCTGGCGGGGACTTGCAAATTTTTTGGTTGTGTTTACTCAGGACGTTAATAATCTCGGAAATTACTAAAATGGAACCAACATACTTTCTTTTTAAGAGGCTATTGAGATCACAAATCATTCTGCAAATATAATAAGCCATGTAAACCGAGCAGGTCCAATACCCGATGCTTGCCATGAGCCGGCTGGAAGCGTGGCCATTTTTTATGTGACACTTCATGTGTGGAACTGAGGAGGCATGAGAACAGCCCTTTAAAAACTCAGCCTTAACATTTCAATAATTGTGTTGGACAAAATGTTTCTGAAAAAGAAAAGCTTCCCTTGTTTTTTCTTTTTTTTTTCCTCTACTGCTCTCAGTTGTCTGGCTTCCCTTGGCCACGTCACCTCCATTTACCTAACCCCTAAGCTTTCCCCTACAGGACTCCTCTTTGGACTTCAAGAGATGCTTCTTAGGCATCTCCTCCTCCCTCTCCAGGAAGAGCTGATGCTCTTTCTCTGTATCCTCACTGACCCCTGGAGCCACTGGTACCCATGGAAATCACCGGAAGCATTTCTTTAAAATATAGACATCAAACTTCATCCCAACGTTCTTGATTCAGAATGTTGCGGGGCGGAGCTCAGGAATCTACGTTCTAAAACACCCCAAGTGAGGCAGATGTTACTGGTTCCGGGGTCACCATCAGAACTGTCACACTGCCCTTGCATGCCTTCCTCTCTGTTCTTAATCGCAAGCTTGTTGAAGGCCATGAACACGTGGCATTCATATTTCATTCAACTCGCATTTGCCGAGTTCCTACTATGTACCAAGGGCTGTTCCAAAAGCAGGGGCTACAGCAATGAATAAAACAGGCTGTCTTCTCTGTTGGGTCTTAGGTTCCAGGAAGTGGGGGAAGTCAAACAATACAAAAAGAAAAACATAAAAGATCGTTAAATTAAAAAAAAGGTAAAAAAGCAGGGAAGGAGTCAGTGAATGTCAGGGTCGTGGTGAGGTTACCCACTCAGGCCTCCCTACTGGGTGATAACTAAACAGAGACTTGAAGACTGTGTGGGAGGTGGCCATACCTGGGGGGCGGGGCACACACTTCTGGGGGAAAGGCAACGAAAGGCTCTGGAGCAGAAGAATGCTGAGCACCCTCAGTGGGAGCAAGGAGGCGGAGTGGGTGAGAAGGCCCCAGGAGAGGAGGGTGGGGAGGGCGGATCCTGGAAAGGCTCATCTGACCCTGGAAGAACTTTGCCTCTGAGGGAGGTACTGGAATTCATGAGGCTTATCACAGTGCTTGCTCTAGATTAAATATCAACAAATACTAGATGAAGGAATTATCTGCTGGTGACATGCAAAAGCCTCTTGTGTCTTAGAGGACTAACAGTGACACAGGGAAATATTTTAGCTTAGCTGTTCTTACAATGCACATTACATCCCCAGAACTTACTTATCTTACAACTGGAAGTGTATACCTTTTTGCCATCTATCTATCAGGCTATCTATCTAGCTTAGATATTTTAAGACAAATATTTTTAACCAAGGAGCAACTAACTATACTCACCTGGAACCAGGACGCATGGACTCAGATTTACTGGCTGTGTGATCTTAGAACGTTATGTAGCTTCTCACCCCCTTGGTTTCTTCACCCATAAAATAAAGGAAATAATAATACCTATGCCATAAAACACTGATAATTATTTTTATTCTTGAAAGGAAACTGCCACAGTGTCTGATGCATGTCAAGCACCAGTGCACATTAACTATGATCATTAGCATGAATGTGTTTAAGACATCTCTAATAATGTAAGGAGGTTAATATATTCAATATTAAATTCTAGCCATTATATATGCTTATGCCTGCTATGTCTATTATACTTAATCTACATTTTATAACCATATAATGCTTTTCACATGTAACATTATATTCACATGCCACTCCGCATGTACAGGTTAGAGTCCCATGTGTTCTCATAGAGTCCCATGAGCGGTAAAATACACAGAGAGGGAATGACCGAATGCAAATATGATGGCGACCAGGATTACAAGGATGCACATGAGAGATCTACTTGTAAAGGAGACAGAAATTGTGTCTGCTGAGGGTATTGTGGTCCCTTCAGGGTATTAATGAAAATAGTATAACTATGAAAACTGCTCATTAAACTTTGAAGTCCATGTGTCGGTCAGACTGGTTTGCTTCCCACAAGACATGGTTCACAGTAGGAATAGTTTTGCTCTAGTTCCCACGGTCAAGTATTTGCCGAACTTGTGTCCTGGTCCCCAAATGCACAGACGAAGAATCATCCACTCGCGTGGGTCCGCACTGCCTGGGCCCAAGTTAGTGCTCAGACAGCCGTGGGCATTTCTTCCCTCCCAGCTGGGAGGCGGTTTCCACTGCAAGAATCTAATTCATGACTCATTTGAGTTGCCCAACTATCTTTTTGCAGATGCTGAATGCTATTTATTATTTGTAATTATTTATAACAGAGCCCCAATGTGCAAATATTAATTTCCCTAAGCTATGTCCTTTGTAACTTTTATACTCATTTTTAGGCACTTGTGAACCATGCTTACCTTGCCTTCGCATTTCATTAAACGCAAACATCCGTGTGTAGCGGTTAATGTGGATGGCTCTGGAAGCGGATGCCTGGCTCCAAATCCTGGGCCATTACTTAGGTGATTGTACGACCTTGGGCAAAGTCCTCAACTTCTACGGGTCTGTTTCCTTCACAGTAAAATGGGGATAAAAAACGTCCCCTTCCACGGAAGGCTGCTCTGAGGATTTGATGAGATAGGCCTGCAGTGCATTTGGAACGACATTCTGAAACGCAGTGCATGTTGGGTACGAACTGTCGCTGGTCCTTGGGCAAACTGGCTCGAGCTAATTTGGACAGACTTTGCTTTGCAGTTCTCCGTAGGTGTTCAACGAGTGTGTGTTTTCCAAGTGTGGTACTAGTTTGTCCGCATCCTTGCCTTCCGAGCAGTATCTCGGATCTCTTCGTTGCTGTCGGTGTGTACTACCAACCACTTCCCACCTCCGCCTGCCCCTGGGCACCCAGCGGCCAGCCTCACCCCACCTGGCTGCAGCGCCTCCTAATAAAACCATGAAACATTGAAAAGGAAAACGACGTGCACCAGTCCAGTGGGGGGCTGGGTTGGCTGGTTGGAGCAGTTATACTAAAGGGCTGTGGGTTCCATCCCAGCTGGAGCATATAACAGTACATAAGCTGTGGTCCGATGCCTGGTGGGGCGCGTGTGGGAGGCGACCGATGGATGTTTCTCTGTCTCTCTAAAATCAATAAACATATCCTTTGGGGAGGATTAAAAAGTAAAAAAAAAAAAAAAAGGAAAACGGTGCCTCACGCTATCAGCTGTCCCAACCAACCCGTCTAACTCTTTTCTCTTTGCAGGATGTTCTGGAAGCTTTCCCTGTCCTTGTTCCTGGTGGCCGCACTGGTAAAAGCCGGGGACGCCAGGAAGAACCGGCCGGCGGGAGCCATCCCCTCGCCGTACAAGGACGGCAGCAGCAACAACTCCGAGCGATGGCAGCACCAAATCAAGGAGGTGCTGGCCTCCAGCCAGGAGGCCCTGGTGGTCACCGAGCGCAAGTACCTGAAGAGTGACTGGTGCAAGACGCAGCCGCTGCGGCAGACGGTGAGCGAGGAGGGCTGTCGCAGCCGCACGGTCCTCAACCGCTTCTGCTACGGCCAGTGCAACTCCTTCTACATCCCGCGCCACGTGAGGAAGGAGGAGGAGTCCTTCCAGTCCTGCGCCTTCTGCAAGCCCCAGCGTGTCACCTCGGTCCTCGTGGAGCTCGAGTGTCCTGGGCTGGACCCTCCCTTCCGACTCAAAAAAATCCAGAAGGTCAAGCAGTGCCGGTGCATGTCCGTGAACCTGAGCGACTCAGACAAGCACTGAGCGCCCCGGGCCGGACGCAGCCCCGCACCGCGCGCCTGTCCGCTGGGTCGCGCCGCAGCCGCCTTTGTCCCTGTCCTCAGAACTCACTCACGCTGCCTGGTGGACCCTCTCAGCAGCAAGCACGTTTCTTGGGGCTGATGGTGTCCTTGGCATAAGCGCGGGCCGCAAGTGGAGCTTTGCTGATGTGTTCTCCCATCGACCCCGGGCCTCCTGTGCGCCTCGCCAACCAGGCTGTTTCAGGCCCGAGGTCAGATGCTGGAAAACCACCACCCAGCAGTCGGAGAGGCATGGGCGTTTCCACCGTGTGGAACGGGGAGTACTTCCCCGGCCTTGCCCTACACTCCAGCTGCCCACTGCCTCCCTAAAGCGAAGGATGCGGAGCAGCCCCGCCAACCTCTGCTGCTGGTCCCCCTCCGCCCCGTCCCCCTGGCTGGGAGCTTTCCTTAGCGATTCTAGGGCTGTCTTCTTGCTGCTGAGCTGTGGATCTGGAGAAGGGCGGCAAAGGAGCTGCCCACAGACGGGAGGTTCTCTTAACCTGGTACCAAGAAGACGACTTGAGCCACTTGAGTGGCAAAACGGGCTTCCCTGGGGACCTTGCTCACAGCAGGCCACGCTCTCCCCACCCCCAGCCGCCACCCTCTTCCTCACTCCCCCCACCCCCTTCTACAGACTAAAGACGAACTCTGGTGTGCATGCTATTATCGCTGCAATTAGAATATTATTACACACAAAGGTTTCCATATTAATGCTGGTTTTATAATTGACCTATATTGTAAAGAGCTCTTAAAAAGTATTATACACCTATCCTTGTATTGTGTCACGGGTTTTGACTCTGGCTTTGCAGGGGCATCCTGAGTACCGACCAGAGCAGAGGACGGCCTGCCCGGAAGGTGTTTGACTCAGAAGTAGTGCCTGGCTGCAGTCCGAGGCCAGGCGCCTATTCTTAGATTAGGAAGGGCGAGGATGGGAGGAGTTGTGATTTCACATTGAATAGTGTTTCACTGAAGCTGGGAAGGCATCGCAGCACAATGTAGGAACTGTGTTGGGATGGATGGGTACAGGGATGAAGTGGATCCATTGGGAAGATTTTAACCTGCAACTCGAAAGCCCCTATAATATTTAATATACATATGTGGGATGAGCAGCTATACTATTTCACGGCCATGGCACTAAGCAAAAGCAATTTCCTGTTAAAAGAGAGAAATATTTAAAACTATAAGGATTCGGGTCGCTTTGTGGGAGAGGAGGAAATAAAGGAGACCATACATCAAATGGAAATCTAGTTGAACTTGTCCTACAGAAAGCCACTAGCTTCCTTTTCAAGGAGTGGACTTTAACAAAAAAAAAAGATGGGCACCATTAGGTCAGCTTTCATTTTTATAATGAATTGTTGAGGTTTTCATGTTGTGGTCTCCTGATAGAAGGAAGCTGACATAATTTAATATCCTGCAAAATTATTCTTACTTTGCTAAATTGCCCCACGGAAAGGTTCGCTGTGATGGATGCTTATGGCATCTGATGAATGTGGAGGAGAGTCCGAGCTGATCGGTGGGAATAAGCCCACGCGGCAAAGTTTTCCCTGATAATTCCCAAGCACTCAATCTTAAGTGCTCTCTGTCCCGGGGGCTCAGGAAGGCGTGATGTCCGGGCGTGTGAGAAACCCTCTACAAGCCTCTCTGGGAACGGAGGCTTCCTGACGTTGGGCAGTGATGGAGGATCTAGAGACACCCACTGAGGGAGCAAGGAGGCAGGCGGGTTGTGGCGAGTGGGGGGATCCATTTACAACCCTCGCTCTGCGGGTTTCATTCCTGTCGCACCTGTGGCGCCGTGAGACCTGAGCAGAACGTGCCGTTGTAAAGGAGGCCTCGGCGTCAGAAGTGGGCGTCGACAGCCCTAAGTCAGGAAATTCGCATTTAGTGGGAAACCTCAAGTCAGACTCAGGCAGAACTCGCAGCAGCAAGGCTGTGAGCGAAGGAGGGCCACGTGATTGCGAGGGAGGCCAAGGGAGAGGAGTGGCCGGCCGACTGCAAAGCCAACCCCTGTCATTCATTCTATGAACACGGAACCCCGATAGGGGAGGGACGACGCTATGAACTTACAGAATACAGACACGAGCTCACTCCGTGAACCCAGCCATGGGTAGAGCGACGGAAGCAATATGATGATATGCTGCAGTGGGAAGCTCCTTCCGGGGTCCTTGTATGTACGTTTACCTTATAATGGCTCAAATTGTATTTAATTGTCTTTTGTGTGTGTTTATAAATGAAGAAAAGCTATAAGTATAATGTAATTATTTTATAGGTGTACTATTAAATTATAGAACAAATAAAGCTACTCTAGGATTATACGTGATCCCGGTGTGATGTGCCATGAAAGTGGAATTTGAACTTGACCCAGTGGGCAGCGCAGGAACACTGTGCGTGAGGAGGATGTTTGTCCAGACATGGTGAGTTGAGCCCCTAGCCTACAGGACACGATGGATCGCCTTTGGGGCCTGGCGTCTCAAAGAGAATCAACAGCAGGCATCCCAGGAAAGGGCAGAGGTGGTGGGGATAGCTCTCAACCCTGGTCTTGGGGGTTTCCAAGAGTCATACAGATTCCCAGCAGCTGGAGACAGAATCCTTAACCCGTTCTCGCTGTGTTGTCTGAGGAAGGAACCCGGCATGGGGAAGTCCCGGGACACTGCTGCGGGCAGAAGCTGCTGTAACCTCGCCTTCCCGCTAGCAGCCCGTGCACCGCCCTCGTCTCTTCCGCCAGCCGGAACTTGCCCTGAGTTTTGTACATTTGCACACTCACTTTTCACGAGTTTCGGCATTTCTTAATTTAAATACTTCTTCGTTGCACGGTGTCTCCATTTTTCTTTTCTACGAATTGACTTATCTGCCACTCAAGAAACTCAACTACCAATAAAAAGAAAAATGAAAACTTGAATGAAACTGCCTATGGTTGATTTGCTGTTTGGACTTCAAAGGAGTTTAATTGAACTTAGGAATAATAAATAATCCATCTTAGTTTATTCAGTGGGACCCAACACTCCACTTCAGTGAGACTCAGATATTCCAATTGACTTGCTTCTGAAGTTGGAGGATTGATTTTTAAGTAATAAAGTCAATGAAAATGGGCTTTTTGCTACTGAGTGAACTTGGAATGTACGAATTTCCAGCAAGTTTATTTGATGAGGGACCTATGACTGCTGGTAATTAAGAGCTGCATGGAAGATAACCAGTAAGACCAAATCACAAATAATGTAATTAAAACTTGTAGATCATCAGGTTATCTTCTGAACCCCTTTCAACGCCCCCCCCCCCCACTTCTCCTGAAGCAGGGCAGGCATTGGAGTCCCTTTATCTAAAGGGAAATGAGGGAATCCACGCAGTTTTTGTTCTCATTGCTTGTATCCATTGGCATTTTTGGATTGCTGGCTTCTCTGGTGCTCACTCTGGACACCATAAGGGAAAATAACGAAGCCACTGTGACCTCATTCCTTGAGTCCTGAGGTTCCTAGTAGGTTTGCCATCTTTTCTCCACTTCTCAGAGGAGGGGTGGGGGCCTCATAACAGGTCTCCCAGGTTCAGGGCAATAGGGGAGATGGACAGTCTCACCTGCATCTACCCAGGTATTCTGGTCCCAACTTGAGGAGTCTCAGGCCTTCCCGATTAGGGGCTCACCTTGGCAAAGGAGATGTGCTGCAGGCTTTTCAGAAGCAGCGCTCCTGCAGCTGAGCCGGCCAGACCGCCGGGGACTAGGGCTGAATGAAATGCTGCCGGAGATCCTGTGGCTTCCCCATTCGACTGAACTGATGATCAGTCACCCCGAGTCCTTTTTTAAAAATCTCTCCAACAAATCCATGCCCCTTGGAAGTTGGTACCCAATTCCAAACTCCTTATAACTATCCTTCCTAACTCTGCAGCACCAGCATCCTGTCTCAGTTTATCCCTGGGAAAACATTAGCCATGCCCTGCTACAGAGAGTTAGAGGTCGTCATGGCAACTGGGGAGGGGCAGTGAGAGCCCTATCTCGGAATCCTTTTTTAGGGAATACTTCTCTGGACCACTCACTCCTGGGGCTGCCTGTCTTAGGCTGGACAACGACTTGTGGGCAGAAGATGGACTGGGGAGTGACGTGAGCACACAGACCTGTGGGAAGCCAGGCAAAGAGGGCTGTGGGGTGGAAAAGCAAGCAGGAGGCAACTGAGGCATCTGATCCCTTGGGGAGTTCTGAAGCTGGGATGGCAGGTTAGAGGTGTCCCAAACTGAAGCAAGGAGGATAGGCTCTCATATCGCACATCATCTAGCCACTGGCTCCAGGAAGCTCTCAGGAGGGGGCAGCCATTTTCCTCTTAGTGCGGGACCAGCCGTGAGCCATCAGCAGCGAATCTTCTCAGTGGGTCAGTTGAGGGGGCGGGTGTGTGTGGCCAAGATGAGATGGGCACGTCAGCTCTGAAGAGGGTTTGTGGGTGGAGCACCATCATTTTCACCTTTGCATGTGTGTTAGGGGCAGGAGCAGTGGAACTGGGGGCCAGGAGGAGAGTGAAGAATATGGATCACGGCCTGGCTGGGGTAGCTCAGTGGATTGAGCGCGGGCTGCGAACCAAAGTGTCACAGGTTCAATTCCCAGTCAGGACACTTGCCTGGGTTGCAGGCCACGGCCCCCAGCAACCTCACATCGATGTTTCTCTCTCTCTTTCTTTCTCCCTCCCTTCCCTCTCTAAAAATAAATAAATAAAATCTTTTAAAAAATTATTTAAAAAAAAGAATATGGATCACCATGAAAGAGAGGCAAAGCAAGTTCCATTTGATAAGAAGAAATAAAAACATGCCAACAAACCCTGGCTGGTATGGCTCAATGGATTAAGCGCAGGCTGCGAACCAAAAGGTCACAGGTTCGATTTACAGTCAGGGCACATGGCTGGGTTGCACACCAGGTCACCAGTAGGGGGCACATGAGAGGCAACCACACATTTATTTGAAAAAAACAAACAAAAAACAAACAAAAAAAAACCATGCCGACAAATTGCACCTAGGATTATTCTAGTCACAACATGCAAAACGACTGCGGGGAACAGGCCAACTCAATGACTCTTGCAAGAATTTAGATGAAAAATGAGGGCCAGACAAGGTGGTAGAATTAAGAGTGGAAAGGAAGAGACAAGTATGTGAAACAGTTGCAGAATCTGGTGACGAAGAGGAGTGTGTTGGTGAAAGAGATGGGGAGGCCAATACAAGTCGGGTCTGGTATCTGGAGGTGAGGGTGTGGGTTCTTACAGATGTGTCTGCGGTGACGACAAGGTCATCTAAATAAAAGTCTCCTTTGAAGAAAAAGGACTGGAACTGGAGTTTGAAGCTGTCCTGGAGAAACTGGTTGAGAAACAAAAAGATCATGACTAAACCCAGGAACACAGATGAGATTTCTAAAAGATGCAGAGAATGAGTGGATAGAAGTCAGACTAACCTTAGACTCGGCTCAGAAAGAACAGGAGGAAGGGGAAACGAGTGACATTTCTCAGCCAGTGTCTGCCCACTGCCTGACAGAGAACATGGGGCCTGATGGCCCTCCCTCTGAAACTACACAGTGCTTCTAACCCATCCTGTCTTCCCGGCATCCCTCTGCTCTTTGAGCAGTGCCGTGTCTTCCTGATGAAGTACCGCTGGCCTGAGCCCCACCTCGGACTCCAATTCCTGAAGGGAAGGACAATACATTTAGTAAATCAGGCACATGTGAAGTCTTCTAACTGTGAACTCCACCCTTAAAATTCTGCTACAGCACCCTGACCAGTGTGGCTCAGTTGGTTAGAGCATCATCCTGTGCACCAAAAGTTGCGGGTTTGATTCCTGGTCAGGGCACATACCTAGGTTGTAGGTTCAATCCCTAGTCAGGGAGCCTGAGAGGCAACCAATGGATGTTTCTCTCTCACATCAATATTTTTCTCTCTCTCATTCTCCCTTTTTCTTTCTCTAAAACACAATGAAAAATGCCATTGGGTGAGAAATAAATTTTTGTTTTTTTACATTCCGCTGTAAGGACATTCTGTACCTAACAAGACCATAGCTCTGATAAAGGGCACCGTTGCTAATGTATGAAGAGGGGTACTGGATACCAAATGATAAATTGGGTGTCTAATTAAGGTTGGAAACATAAAGTTTCATGTTTGATGGTTTAGCAAAAAGGTTTGAGAGTTATCCAAATATTTACCTTCATAGTTTTTTGTTTTTTGGTTTTTTTTTGCTTTCTGTTTCTGTTTTTGTGGTGGTATATGTATATTTTAAATTTTTGTTTTAGTTGAGAAGCCAAAGGGTGCACAACTCATGTTACCATAGGCACTGCGTGTCTGTTCTCCCATGTGCTAGAAGGCGCTCTGTTGATGGGGTCAATTTCTGGATGTGTTCTGGAATTTCATAAGCTAAATATTGAAATTCTTGATTCTCACTTTGCTTGAAAAAAAAATGAGCTCCCTCATTTAAGGATATACTGACAAGTTACGGGCTAGCATTTACAAATTAAAATCTGTGAGCATGAAAAAGTATTGTGGGGACCAGCTTAGGTCAATTGAATCTTATTATAATATCGCTTACTATAGAATGGCTTAAATGTGTTGCCAGCTCCACACTCCAAAAGCCTAAAACCGACATAAAAATCGCATTGCGGATTAGCCTGTGAGGTATGGGTTGGTCCTGAGATCCACTGCATGGAATAGAAATGGTTGTTAATTTCTGGAAAACTTTACAGTATATGATAAAATTATAGCCATAAATGAGAAACATTTACATAAAGTCAATGAGGGCAGTATGAAATAACTCGAAAATTGAGGTGAGAGGGGGTTTTGCCTAAGGATTACCGAAATAGGCCAGTGTAAAATAAAAGGCCCGATGTTACTGTAGCAATCAGACCACCATGGGAGAAAATGCGTCCAGTGGCCTACAGACCACCCTGGCTTTTTTTTTTTTTCATCCCTGTAACAGACAGGCAGGGATGGCCTCCCACCCGTACAAATCCCCATAGCGGTCTAGCGTGAGAACTTGCCTGGCCATCCTTGGGGAGGGTTCCTGATACAGTCACCAGAGCAATGTGCAAGCATCCTCAACCCCCTTCATGCACATTGTCTCCTTGATTCAACACGATCGATCAGATAGGCGTCCTGTGATATGTGTGCCATGAGGTACATTCCAAAAGGTTAATTATAAAATACATCTACTTTTGTTTGTTTTTTCCAAAGTCTGTCTGCAAAATCCAAAAGGGCCAAAAGAAATGACAAAGTGATGAAAACCTTCCTCTCATCTGTCCCGCAGCTACCAGCTTCTCTTCCCCAGAAGCAAGTAGTGCTAGTGGCTCCTTGTGATGCCTCCCG